GTAAAATTGAGCAATTGTTTCTTACTTTTTAAAACCATTTAATTCATTAATTATTTCATTAATTCCATTTTAAACCACTAAGTTATTACTATCTTAAACCATTTAATTCATATTACTTTGGCTTGTTGATACTTTTATGTAATGTAAATTTTTATTGGTTTGTAACAATTCTATTTTTCCGTTAAAATTTCTCTGTAATGTCTTTAAATTTTGATTTTTTATTCCAGAGTTTTAATTGTATTTTTATCTTATGAAAATAAAGCATGTAAACTACGAAATATGTCAATATTAAGAAATATGTTTTTCTTAAAAATAATTTCACATTTATTGCTATTTTGTTAATAAATTATAAAGCTGTTACTATTTGGGAGCATGGTTTGGTTTTTTAATCTTTGGACTCGTGATTGTCAAGCAAAAAACTTGTTTTCGTGACGGCATTTAGATATTATTTCTTTTTTTGTATTTAATAATTCTTGTGTACCTTGGTATGATATTATGCATTTTTTTTGTTATGTTGCTTTAGGCAACTTAATAGACTTTTAATTTTTTTAATTTTTTTAAATTAATTTTAATATTTTAATTTTTTAAAACAGTTTTATTACATAAATGTAATGTAAAAGGTATTTTTTGAAAATCTCCTAATATATACCCGATTTTGTGATTAGAAGTACATTAGTAGGTATTAATTGCATAATTTTATAATTAAATTTTTTTTTTTTTTTTTTTTTTTTTTTTTTAACATCTTTACTTCCAACAAGGCTGCAAGCAACCACTATAAGAGTTGGAAGTTACTGGAAGAGAAAAGACTAAATCTGTAGAGCAAGATAACGATTGACTGATGACTTAAAAGATTGCAAATTATATGAATCAGGAAAGCAAGATGAAGGAAGCGAATTCCAAAGAACTGATGTTCGAGGAAAAAAACTAGAAGAATAAGAGTTTTTGAAGCACTTAGGAACAGTCACAGAAAAAGGATGAGACTTAATTGAATGGCGAGTAACACGAGAATGAATTTTAGTAGATGGCACAAGGGACGCTAGCTCTTTAGAGCAGTGCCCATTATAGTATTTGTAGAAAAGAGAAAGAGAAGCAACATTACGACGATGTGACAGAGGTTGAAGGTTGGCTGCCAGAGCAGGTCCAACTATGTTTACAATTCGTTTTTGCACCTTGTCTAAAAGAGAAAGAGCATCATTAGAAGATCCGCCCCAGATGTGGCAACAGTATTCCATACAGGGACGGATTTGAGATTTATAGAGATAGAGAATAGAATCTGGAGTAAGAAAGTGTCAAGCTCGATAAAGAGATGCAACCTTAGCAGATGCTAATTTTGCAATGGATTTGATATACGGTTTAAAAGAAAGATCAGAAGTAAGAGTTAATCCTAGAAGATGAATGGTAGATGACTCATCTAGTACATTACCATTCATAAATATAGGAAGATCTAAATTATTACGATAACGATTGGCCGAATAAAATTGAGTTTTATCTGAATTAAAGTTCACCAGCCACTGTGAGCCCCATGCTGTAGCAGAAGTGAGATCCTTTTCAAGCTCAGATACCCCCTCCAAGCAATCAGAGAGTGTAGGCTTCTTATCATGACAAGAGTAAATGGTAGTGTCGTCAGCGAATAATGCCACCTTAGATGTGAGAATATCTGGAAGATCGTTAATGTAAATTAAAAAGAGTATAGGGCCAAGGATTGAACCTTGAGGAACCCCTGAAGTTACAGGATGTGAAGAAGAGTGTTGTCCATCGAGGACAACTTTTATACTACGATTGGAAAGAAAGGACTCAATAATCTTAAAGACGTTACCAGCTACACCATAAAAAGAAAGCTTATGGAGAAGACCAGCATGCCAAACTTTATCAAAAGCTTTAGAAATGTCAAGTGCGATAGCCTTAACCTCTCCACCTCTATCTAATGCACGGTAAAACCTATCGGTTATTACTGTTAGCACATCAGCTGTAGAACGAGAAGACCGAAATCCATATTGATGGTCAGAAAGTAAGTTATTTGATTCAAGATGAGAGATTAAGTGTTTGTTAATTAAAGATTCAAAAACCTTGCTTATGACAGGAAGAAGACTAATGGGACGGTAGTTAGATGAATCAGATCGCTCTCCGGAATTTTTGAAAATAGGGATAACAGATGCTGCTTTCCAGCATGATGGAAAACAAGACTCTGATAAGCACTTGTTAAATAGTTTAGAAAGTATGGATGAAAGCTCCGGAGAACACCTCTGCAAAACTACAACAGGAATGTTGTCAGGACCACAAGCTGTTGAAGAGTCTAAGCAGGAAATTACTTTAGATACAGAAGCTGAAGTGATGCGAATGTCAAGCAAGGGATCAACCTGTTTGACGGCTATGTCAGGTAAAACGCAACTAGTGGAATCAAGAGATGATATTGATGAAAAGTTCTTAGCAAACAATTCAGCTTTGTCTTTAGGTGAGGTGACAAAGTCTGAACCATACAAGAGAGAAGGAATAACAGATTTGCCCTTATTATTGATACTGTTAAAGATTCTCCAGAAGTCTCGAGAGCCTAATTTTGTGATGAGATACGAGATTTAATGACCTGGGAATAGCGAGCTTTGGCGTCAGACAAAACCTTTTTACAATGGTTTCTGGCGATAGTGAACAGATGTCTGTTTTCTGGAGAATTGTTTTGCTGATAGATATGGAAGTAACGGTTTCGATTAGAAATTGCTGCAGCGCAATGTGAGGAAAACCAAGGAGAAGAGTGAGGCTTAACCTGGAATCGTCGAGAGGGAATAAAAGATTCCATGCCAGCCTGAATCCACGAAGTTATGTAAGAAGCACATTTGTCAGCAGGAAGACGAAAGATTTCTACCCAAGGGCCATCACGAAGAAAATCACGGAAAGAGTCCCAGTCAGCTTTAAGGTAGTTGTATGTGGTACGATGATAGGGGGATTCTGATGAAGTAGAAGAATTTGATAATAGTTTTAGAGAGATCAAACCGTGATCAGAAGTACCTAAGGGTGAATGTGGAGAAATTGAGCACTGACTAGGATCCAAAACAAGACATAAGTCGATTTATAATTTATATTATATAGTTTTAAAATATAAATAATTTATATTATATAGTTTTAAAATATTAATACCTAATTATATTATATTAAAAGTATCAGTAAATAAGTTGAAATTATGTAAATGAATGAGTCATTAAAAGAGGTTGGTAATAACAGTCTAACAGTTCGACATCAGGTTGAGTCTCCATAAAGCATAGAAACAAGGATGACAATTTTTAGCTGACCTCAAATACTTTAAGATCGGCAGTTAGGTCGGCATTGCCAAATGCCGACCCTAATTCCAAGGGTTGCACTGTTTTGCAGCCTCTATTATCACTGCTGTTGAATCAAGCTTTTTATTTTCTTTGCCTTTTATATGTTTGTATTTATTAAAGTAAATTTCATATATTACTAGACAAACATTAAATAAAAACATATATACATAAAAAAAACTATAGAATCATATATTACAGTAAAACCATAAGATTTACTGTAGTATATGAATCAAAGCTTTAAAAATGCTTATCAGAATTCTATATTTTCTATTTTCAGAATTCTATATTTTCTATTTTCTATATTTTCTATTTACTATTTTTTCCAGTTATTCTTATTGTTGCATAATTATTTCTATTTTTCTTGTTTTTGGCAGCTCACGTGTTGTCATTATAATGCAAATATTTCTAAATGTTATCCTTTGAAAAAAAGCTGCACTGTTGCAACTATCCCCATTCTTTTCTATAAAACTTTAAGTTACTATTTATAACTTTTTTAGACTTAGGGTGGACAAAATCTGCTTTGGTATGTCTATGCCAGCCTTGGTGGAAAATGGGAGGTTTGCTTAAACTTGACAATCTAGAACTCGTTATTTGAACAAAAATCATTACTTCAGTTTTTTTTTTTTATGATGGTTGTTTTGCTGCTTTTTGGCATAGATTGTCTCTAACAAAGAAATATTTCAAAATACTGTCTCTCTGTATAATTAAGCTTTAATAAAGTCTGTTTACCAATGTAGTCTGTCATATCATCCTAAAGCAATATCAAATTAAAAAAGAGCCAATATACAACATTTGGTTTAACCCTTTGTTTAGTAAAAACGCACCAATGTGAAAAAATATTTTTCTAATAATAATAAGCTGCATAAAATTTTTAACAGGAACACAGTCAAACTTAGCTACAATTGTATATCAAGTGTAAAATCAATTTTAAATTTAGACAAATATACATTTTAAGCAAATATACAAACCCAAATCTGCAACTATTTTAATAAAACTCTTTGTCCATTGTTCAATAAATGTTCAACAAGCAACATTGTACATCAAGCAACTTTAACTTCAGCATGCTGTAATACCTCTCCTAATGAAAAATCCTACATTGATATAAGTGAGACTACTTTTAAATTAAGACATGCTAATCATGTTTAATCTTTTAACATCTAAATACAAAATGATAATGAGCTCTAAAAACAGGTATGGAAGTTAAAAGAAGCTAATTTAATTCCTATAATTGAAAAATACTGTAAAGCATACAACCTATCAAATAAATCTTATTTCTCACCAAAAAATATAAAAAAAAAAATTATAAAAATATTAATTTATTAAATAAAAAGAGTGAGAATACTTATCTAACTTCAGCTTCTACTGTCAGTTTCTCCTTCAGCAGGATCATCAGGAAGATATTTGTATATATAAATATATAATAATAATAATAATAATAATAATAATAATAATAATAATAATAACTAAAATGAAAACGATGATAACAAATGCGAAGTCAAAATATATACACCAATGTATAAATGTGTTAAATGTATTTATATATATATATATATATATATATATATATATATATATATATATATATATATATATATATATATATATATATATATATATATATATATATATATATATATATATATATATTTGCTGTGTGATAGTAGAAGTCAATCAAATTTTTTGATTTAGGCAAAAATTCTTTGTTCAACACTTTGCAAATGTTCTGGCTGTAAAAATTTTGAAGAATCTGCCGATCGTAAAACATTGATGCAATTAGCTGATGCAGCAGGTTTTCTGTTTTATCATTATGTTAAAAAATTTTAATATATTCATAATTTATTATTATATTAACTTTGTATATTTTTGTTTATGAATGTAAAGTTGTTTTATTAAGACATAAATAGTACAAAGTACAGTTTTTAAATGGAAAAATAAGGCTTAAGTGAAAATGAAGATCAAAAATGACAAAAATCAACTTTTGCGTACTCTTGAAACATGATAATTAGACAAGCTAAAATGTTTACTTTACCTATATTATGAATTTTTGGTCTGAAATAACCATTAAACAATAATCAAGTGATATACCAACTATAGAGAATGTACTTTGTCCTATATTCAAATTTAAAAATTGACTACATTTCATTATTTCTAAAAATTTAGTCTTTAAAATCCAATATTATATATCCAATATTATTTTGAATTTATGAATTGTAACGACATTAAAAATTAATAATTTTGGAGATCAATTGAAATTTGTATTTTTGCCTGATTCTTAGAGAAAGTTTCTTATTACTGTTTATTAGTAATATTTGCAGCAGATGTTTTTTTTTAAGTCAATCAGAATTGAACACTCAGGTGATCCTGCTGATTTTATGCCATAAATAAACAAAAAGACCAGAACACCTAAACATTCATGAAATGAATGTTTAGGTGTTTATGAACAATGGTGTTCATGAACATTGAACACTGTTTAGGTGTTCATGAACATTGAACACTGTTTAGGTGTTCATGAACATTGAACACTGTTTAGGTGTTCATGAACATTGAACACTGTTTAGGTGTTCATGAACATTGAACACTGTTTAGGTGTTCATGAACATTGAACACTGTTTAGGTGTTCATGAACATTGAACACTGTTTAGGTGTTCATAAACATTGAACACTGTTTAGGTGTTCATGAACATTGAACACTGTTTAGGTGTTAGGTGTTCATGAACATTGAACACTGTTTAGGTGTTCATGAACATTGAACACTGTTTAGGTGTTCATGAACATTGAACACTGTTTAGGTGTTCATGAACATTGAACACTGTTTAGGTGTTCATGAACATTGAACACTGTTTAGGTGTTCATGAACATTGAATGTTCATGAATATATTTAACACCTTTTTTAGGTGGTAACAAATTTCTTACTTTTATGTAACAATAAAGTGTCATTCACAACAAAACAAACTTTTTAGCTGTCATTCTGTTATGAAACCTTGGTAGGGCACAACTGAAAATTGCCAGAAAACATTTATCTTGTCCTGCACCACAACGTTTAAAATATTATGAATCAAAGTTTAATATGTTTAGTTATGAGGGTGTTATTTAGTTTAACCCACAGTAAAGTATGGTGATGGCTCAATATGGTTTGATCATATTTTAGCCCTGATGGAGTAGGTCTAATTTATCAAGTTCATGGCATTATGGATAATAACACGAATAAATAAATAATCAAAAACACAATCCTGCTACAAAGAACAAATTTGTAATGATATTACAACATGACTATGATCTGAAGCACACATTCAAAGTACGCACTAATTATTTTTTCCCCAAATGAAAGTTTGAGTTTTGGGATGAAAGTTACAATATGTAGGCCTGAAGCATAATTGGTCGCAAGTCAGCTAATTAACAAGATTTGTTTGAGTTGATTAAATGCACTTGGGAGGAAATACTGACAATATTTAAATTAATTTGCAATGCTTCCATTGCAGCAAAATGTTTTCCAATCAATTATTAGCATTGTATACAGATTATATACTTAATATAACAGATTGTAACAAAATTATGTAATATTTTGATATTATTTCAGATTTTTTGTTTAGCTATTCTGGGGTACCTTTGTATCAGTGACGAATCCAGGACTTTTTGGTGTTTGTGATATATTTGGAGCAAACTTCAAACATTTATATGTTTAAACTTATGTCAAATAATGAGGCTGTGCAAAAAATTCCGGTGATTGGAAGCTGGGAACTAAAAAGCCTTTTGATTTTATCTTGACCCCCACCCCAAATGTGTAACCCCTTTAAGTTGTGGGGCCTTTAAACTTTATATGTTCATAATTTTTAAATGCTGAGAGGTAATACTATGAAACTTAAAATTTATCAATGAATATATGTCTAATTGAGAGTAGTACAAAAAAAAATTATCAACTTGTTACCCCTTATGTTTAGGGTTGGGGGGGAGGTATTTTGAAGTCAAAGGACTAATTTGTTCCCAGTCTCCAATCACCACAATTTTTTGCACAGCCTCATTATTTGACATAAGTATAAACATACAAGCGTTAAGAGTTTGCTCCATATTTGAAAAATCGCCAAAAATCTCAATCACCAAAAAATCCTGGATCCATCACTGCTTTGTATGAAATTATTTAAAGTTTTTGTGGAGGCAAAGCAAGGATTTTTTTATGATGTTATTGTAAGCAGGAACTTTTTTAATTATTGACCATTTTAAGTTGGGTGTTACTTTGATGTTTTCTGTTATTTGCCATATGTATTTAGAAAGGGTTGTTAAATTTTTAAGTTTTTATTTGTGAAGGAGTGTTAGTGGTTAGCCCATGGTTTCTTCTATTCACCTTCTGATAAATAATACTCAAATAATACTTTTAAATAATACTTTTTCTGGAATGTGTTAGCGAGTGACACTATACATTTATAAATAACATTTGAGATTCTACATTTTCCTTTCATCTGCCAGTTTCTTTGTTTATGCAATTGCGTGGTTTGTGTTAATCTGAGTTTTCATATATAATTTTTTTTGTTGTGGCTTTTTATTATTTTGTCAATACTTTTAGTGCAGCTACAATTCATTTTAATTGTATTTCTATTAAATAACTTATATAGTTGATGGGATATTGAAAAATGTTTTTCTATCAATTTTAGGAAGATATGTTCAACATTGGTTGAAACACTTTTACCGTAAGGAAGGGGGGGATTGAACCATATATTTCTTTTTCTTTTGGGTTTATCGTTTTTTTAGTGTTATATCTTATATCAAAATTAGTGAAGCCGTTTCTGTTTAGTTCCTCTTCGTTCCTATTTTATCAAGGCATTTTTTGCTTATGTGGCTGAGTTCAGATTTTGCTGGGTTTAACAGATAAAAAAGTTTATTGTTTTGGAATGACTCTTTGTGGTCTTTTAGTGTTATGAAAGCTTTGGACTTTGCAATTTTTCTTTATTGGTTTGCCTAATTTGAACATATTTGCTACATTTATAGCTTCAAGGTTAACACAAAAAGGTTAAAGCCAAGTAACACCTAACTTAACCTAGTAAATAATTTAAAAAAGTTTCTGCTTACAATAACATCACACAAAAAATGCATGCTTTGCCTCCAAGAAAAACTTTTAAAAATCTGAAATAATATCAAAGTGTTACCATGAAAACAAGTTTTTGCTTGACAACCATAAGCTCAATGATTAGAAAAACCAAAGGATTGAAGCACGCAAAAATAAGGCTTTGTAATTGTTTGCAAACAATAAGGCTTTGTAATTGTTTTTCAATTTTTTTTTTTTTTATTTGTTTATAATTAGAACAAAATATTGTTTAACAAAATAACATAATGTATTTTTTACCTGATGATTGCTTACGCATGAAACTTTTAGTAGTAAACATGTAGTTATTTTATACTTTAATTTGTCAAACAAACATTAAAGCTCTGATATCATTCATTGAGCACTTTTACTGAAGAAATATTTATAATAAAATAAATTTAAATACACACACACACATATTTTTTATCTATCTTTCTCAAGTATTGATAGCGTCAACTTTCTGTTTAGTTTTTTTTTAATTTTTTTAAATTTCAATAGAAGTAAGAGTATTACAACAAAATGCTGCAATTAGTAAACTTGATACTGAGATGAAAGTTTTGAATGGAGAAACCCAATGTTTCAAAGACAAGTAATTTAAATATTAATATTGTTAATAAGTAATTTTTGAAAATTTGTTCTGAAAATTTTGTTGTTTTTTATAAATCTTTTGTTTGTTTTAGAATTTCATTCATAACTGAAGATGTTTCCAAATTGACCTGTGACATTTTACTTGCGCGAGCTCAGGAAGCTGAATTTGTAGGTTGCTATGGTTTTATTAAAGTTCTGTTCAAATGTTTTTTTTAATGAGATGATTTTTATATATTTTAATCTAAAGTTGAGTTAAAATATGTAAGAAAATTAATTTTTCTGTTCACAAGTTTCTTAAATTTTAACCGAGTTTAAACTAAAACTTTAAATTGTTTTGCACCCTGCACCTGCACCCTGCATTGAATTATAAATTGCATTTTGCAACCAAGATCATTGTAACTGTAATATGTGCACAAAGAATTATTAAACTTGTTTTAAATTGGTTTTCAAGTGTAAACATTTTTAATTCTGAAAATTGCATTATGCACTACCTTCTAAAGTTTAATGTCATCACTAGCTCTTAATGTTTAATGTCACCACTAGCTCCTAATGTTTAATGTCATCACTAGCTCCTAAAATTTAATGTCATCACTAGCTCCTAAAGTTTTATGTCACCACAATAAAAATTGTTTGTAAACAATTCTGTAGTTTTTCTTGCAACATTTAGCATGTTGCAAGATTTAATTTTAATTTTACACATTTTTAGTTACCTTTAAAAAAGAGTTTGACTATTGTAAATTCATAGTTTTCAGTTTTATTTTCAAAAAAAAAGGTGATTTTTTTTATTCATTTTATTTTTATAAATTTTTTATAGTTTGTTAATTAAATTTAGCTCAATGAAGATGAAGTACAAATAGAACATTCAGTTTTGGAAGAATTCAGTCGATGCCTTAACCAGATTATTGATAAAACTAATGGATTTAAAAAAAGTGAATAGTTAATGTTGTTTTTTTTAAATAATTTATTTATCTATTATTTGATTATTATAATTTTCTTTTTTTATTATTACAGTTTTATTCATCATTTATTTAGATTGTGTTAATTGTAATTTTTATATTAAGCTGTTATATAAAAACATATTGCAATATAGAACTGTTATAATTTATATTAATTTATTTTTATTTATTTTTTAATCAACATAAATTTTTAAAGATATTTTTCTCATTTACTCTTTTTGTGTGTTTAGGGAAAAAATAACAATGGAAGGATTAACCATTGAAAAAAATGACCATGGACTTAATGACTATGGTTTGAATGACCATGGACTGTGTTCTGAATTTTAAAATAATCGAATCTTATTTATTTTATAAACTTGTAAATTTGTACATCAAAATCACCTACATGTTTTTATATATAAATATATTTTAACGTAAGCATGAATTTCTTTTTACAGTGTCTTATGGTACATGAATACATTTAGTATAAAACTTGTGTTTCATGATACTTGGGTACTTTTATTATAGTATATGTGTAATTTGGTACATGAATACTTTTATTATGTCTATATTAATAGTAACTTACAAAAAATTTGGTTAAACATAATTTTCTTTTATTCAATTAATATATTAAAAAAAGCTGTTTTGTACTTCTGTATTTATTTTAGATATTTCTCAAAGAGCCTATTAATTTCCTTTATTTTTTTTTACTGAAATATATGAACAAAAAACTATGTTTTTTTTTTCTTTTTTAATGAATTGCTTTCCCTTTATTTGTTTAAAATCTCTCATGTAGTGGAAATGGTTTTCCATTTGATAATAGTATGTATCCTGTGGTTTTATTCATAATCTGTTTTTAAATAAACTTTTAGATTTAAAAAAATGTACATTCATTTATAAACCAATATTGATAAATAAATTTTAATAAAAGTGTTGGCAACTAATTATTTTAAATTTTTATTATGTATGAGTGAACAGTTATATATTATATATAAATATATATTTATATATAATATATATAGTAAAAATTAGCCAACACTTTATTTTATATAATAAAACTCTATATATATATATATATATATATATATATATATATATATATATATATATATATATATATATATATATATATATATATATATATATATATATATATATATATATATATATATATATATATATATATATATATATATATATATATATATATATATATATATATATATATATATATATATATATATATATATATATATATATATATATATATATATATATATATATATGTATATATATATATATATATATATATATATATATGTATATATATATATATATATATATATATATATATATATATATATATATATATATATATAGATATAGATATAGATATAGATATAGATATAGATATATTGTTATATTAAAGCATATTAATAGATCTTCTTGATTGGAGAAGGATGGACAAACCTAAAGTAACTTTTTTTAAACTTTTTTGTTACTTTTTTTAAATATATATGTGTGTGTAATATCACTACTAGCTCCTGTGTACATATGTATGATATATATATATATATATATATATATATATATATATATATATATATATATATATATATATATATATATATATATATATATATATATATATATCATATATATATCATATATAATATATGTATTGCATCACATTTGCATCTATGTATAATAAATATATTATACATACATGCAAATGTGATGCAATACATATATACATGAATATGTGAGCATATATATGCAATAAAAATTCTTATAACATTTGGTCAATTTTAAATTTTAAGGTCTGTTTAAAATTTAACTTAAAGTTAAACTCTTTTTAATTTTTTTTTTTTAAACAGTTAAATTATTTAAAACATAAAACTTGACTTTGTTTTTGGTAAGCATAACATGCCATGTTATTTAGCACTTTTGGTAACCTTGGCATTTTGAGGTATGTTGGCATTTTTCAAGTATTTTTCTTTAAGGATATTGGTTATCAAGTTTCTGGGAAAAAGAATGAGGTTGTTAATGATGAAAAGCCTGATGTTCAAAAAAATTTAGTAATTGCTTTATCTTCTTCTTCTTTATCATCAGAATCCTCTGCATCAGATGAAGATTTTAATCAAAATAATCAAGATGAAATAGGTATTTTAGTTGGATAAGTAGTCTTAAATTGTAAAATTGTAAATTTTAATAGTTACATTCATAGAATGCCTTTTTTTACTGTACTTTAAGTAACATTCAATTTATTCAATACTTGATGTTAAGCAAAAAATTTTCAATTTCATTTGTTTTATATTTATTATAACTACAATAAAATAATATAAAACCTAGTATAAAGTGAATTGGTTAATTATGTGAAATTAGTGTTAATGGTATAAATAAGTTGATGAATTAAAAAAAAAAGTTTAAAAAAGTTACATATTTATTATAAAATATAAAAATGAATTGAATATATGATGAAAATAAGTTATATAAAGAAAAATACTTATAAAAATAAGTTTGTTTGTTAAAATGAGTAAATTGTACAAGTTAACTCAAAGGTGTCTAATTTTAATAAAGTAATTTATTTGATGATAACTTTTCAAATATTTAAATATTTTTTTGGAATAAACAATAAAATCATTTAATAAAAATCTACTAAAAATTGATTTTAATTAAAGATCTTGTCTTTAATCAAATGGCAATTTTTACATTTTTGCATTACATTTTTTTCAGTTTAAAAAAAATAAATTTGTTGTCAAAATAATTGTTTTGAATTTTAATTTTGGTACACATTTTTAATCTGGGTACAAACATAAGTAATTAGAATTTTGTCATGGCATAACAGACCATGTGTTCATATAACCATTATTTATGTAAAAGTTACTTTATTGCAAAATTTTTCAGATTATGCTGATGTTACTAAAAGCATCCTTACTTCTAATTCACAACCTGGTCAGTCATGGAACTACTTTCTTCCAGGGGTACCTGTTAGGATTATCATAAATGAGTTTTTATTTCAGCCCTTATCACATCGAATGAATCCAAATTTGTATGTATAACATGTTTTTTTTATATGTGTTTGTAACATGTTGGTTGTTTATAAATAAATGTAGTTTTTATTTTCTTTAGATATATAATTAAGGTTCAACATGGTGAATTTAAATGGTTATTACGAAGACGATATAATCATTTTCGAGCGTTACATACTCATTTAGAATTGAGCTATGCTGCTCTGCTTGTCCAACATCCTAATTTAGCTAGTCGTAGAGAAAAAGTTCCAAAGTTTCCGCATCGTCCTGATATTTTAATTTCTTCAAATAAGAAAGAAAAACGCATGAAAAAACTGCAAAGATTTTTGCAGAAAGTTGTTGATGACGACAAACTAAGATGCGATAGGCATACACTAGATTTTTTAGAAGTTTGTCATCTATCATTTATCAAAGACATTGGTATGAAAAGCAGGTAAGAATAGTTTGAGAAAAAAAAATGTTTCTAGATCAGGTGATCAGGTCATATATTTTGTGATTTTTCAATATTAATAGCTATTCAATGGTCTAAGCTCAGTTTTTCCAACTGAAATGTTGTTTATGTCTTACTTAAGTTGTTTGCTGTGATTATCAGTTATCCAGTATTTCATGAAATTATTAGTGATATTTTGATGTGCAGTATTGAGGCCACCTAAGGAGCTTTTTGTTAGGACTTTAGGTTTTTCAACAGGGATAAGATAGTTTTATATTTTGTCATTTTAAGTATCAAGTACTATTTATTTTTGATTCAGGTTTTTAATAATAACTATAATAACTAAAAGTTTTAAAATTAGAAACCGAAAATAAAAAAATCATCATATTTAATCATTTAAATATGTTTGTGGTCCTACTTCTAGAAAAATTTACCAAATCTACTTGCTCTCTCTGAGACTAATTTGAACTGGACTGTTTGTCATGGTAACACCTTTTGATCTTACTGTTAAAACTATATTTTAGCTTATTCAAAGTTGTCAGTCGGGCAATTCCATGTGAAAACATCCAGGACATGCAACCTTTAATCTCAGATTTTGCTGATTTTTACACCACTCAAAGATTTTAATAAGTTACAAACGTCCCCAAAATTTCATCATCTAATTCCAAACAGTTTCAAAGATATAACTATTTAAACTTTCCCATGAACTATCAAAAATCTGCCATTTTAAAAAATGGTTTTGGTCTTTGTTTCTGCCCTGTGTGCAATAGAAAGCAGAAAGTGTGTACACTAAAATATTTTGAGGCAAGGAATCCAATGAAACAACAGAGAGTTTTCTTTTCTTAAACAGAAAAAAAAAACATGGTTAAATTTACTTAAATTTGTTACTTATAAAACAAGAATTATGAAAAATCAAAAGAAAAAAAAAACAGTGGTACTCTTAGGTGCTTAATACAAGGAAGTTGATGTTTATTAATCTTCAGAAAATTTTCCCACTTACCCTGAGCTTGTTAAAACTCCTCCCCCTGTTTATAAAGTTTTACTTGTTATGAACAAAATACTGCACATCAAAACTAAAACTAAAAAATTTTCAGTTATTATTTTCTCTTTTTTAAGACTGGTTTAGTTTTTAAAAATTAGAAAATATAAACTCACTTGTAGAAATTAAAATAAAAATTCCTACTCTCCTGTTTATTAATACCCCCTTTCCTCCACCTCTCCGTCCCTTTTTTTTCCTTCTCCCTTATTTATTACATCTTGACAAAAACTTGATTTGTCTATTGATAAAAAGAGTTTAAAAACTTTATTTTGCTAAGTTTTGAATGCAAGTGATCAGTATGTTTTATAAACATTTCTCCTCCTTTACTTAAAACTTCCTCCACAACTCTAAATACAATTGAAAAAGATTGTATTTAGATTATTAGTGTAAAGTTAAAAACCTCCTGAATTAGCAATAACACTTGCCTGCAGTATGTTGCCTAACTGGAAATCCCTCGCCTATTGCTGTAAGAACTGTTTATTTAAAGTATTTTTAGGTAGATTGTTTATATCTGCTTCATATTCATAGTCAGAATGTGATAATTATTCTAAACTTTAAATTACTTTTTAGGCTCAATTTTATAAACTACTAAAAGCTAAATTAAATTAAGCAGTAAATGCTCCATCATATAAAACATGTTGTAGCACATTTAATGTAAAAAGTGATAAAATAATAAAATGCAGTAAGTGATGATAAACAGCTTTATTAAATACTGATTCTCATTCAATTGTTGGTCACTGGTCAATAAAAAAACAACTGCTCGGTGTAGTTAAGGCGATTTACAAAATATTTGAATACTTTTATTTGGAATTAGCATGGTTTTGTTAGCATATTATGTCCAAACAAGATCTTTAAATGTTATAATTTTTTTTGCTTAAAGTTTTTATAATATTTAAAGAAACTTTCCTTTTTTTAATATAATTTTCAAAACCTTTTTACTACCCGGTAATAGTGAATCTAAAGAACACTATTTTGGAGTCTTTAGATCGATTCCGCTCATCGACGTTAACATGAATTTAGTTAAAATCTTTTGAAAAAATTCCTTAATTTAATATAGTTGTCAAAACACAATATTTCTATCAATTTTCACAAAAAGTACTAAAATTCCGACCAAGAAAGAAAAACCTATATCGTCTAACCTATATCGAAAGGGTCGACGTCGACATTTGCCGACTAACTAGTCTAAAACGGTTTAATTTGCCGACTAAGGGTACAGTTTGCCAACTAAAAATCATTGATAAGGGGGTGTGACACACACCCCCCACACCACCCTATCGCGCCGGCCTTGACTACTACTAACACTACTAAGTTTAGCAATAATATATAGTTATGAAATTAATTTAACTTTTTTATTTAATTTTTTTAAAACTATTATACTATCCCCTTATTAAAAATGTTTAACGTTTTGTTGGATATTTTCTTGGGAATTGTTTCAGACTACTCATAAAGCTTTTAACTGTTTCTCTTTCTTGTTGATTAAAAGAGCGAAGTTTTTGGCGCATCAAAATAAATAAAATCATTTTTTATATTTGTTGCGTTTCTGATAAAAATCTGATAAAAATACAACAATACACTAAAACTTTTTTGCAAACTAAAGCAATTTACTATTTGAATGACCAAACAAGTAGTAATAAAGTTGTTTTACTAAATTATTTTTTGTAAGTTATATTATTTGAACTCCCTTCCCTATATCACAAATTGTAACATTTCGTGCCTTTTTGGCACGAAATGTTACAATTGCCTATCAACGGAGCTGTTTATTGAGCAACTAACACTGGTCACATGATATAAAATTAGCAAAGATGTCTATAAATTACGTGACGTACTTTATAGACGTCTTTTTTATAACTTTGTTAAATTTGCAGGCCTTTTGGCAGAGGTAAGCAAGGTTTAGCATGTTCTCTCCTGCAAGAAAGAGCTTATTATTATAGAAAATTGATAATAAACAATCAGAGCAGATCATATTGTTAAATTATAATGTCCATTTCACCTAAAAAACGTATTAATATAAAATCTTATTCAAATTTGGACGAGCGATTGTGATTTTAAGATGGTTTTTTTTTTAAAAAAAAAGATTCCACGGTCTGGGTTTTTTTGCTACAAACATTTGTATTTTATGATACAGCAAAATTTATCATTTTAATCTTTTCATAACTCACCGACCAGACCATTTAACGGAAATATGTCCTAGTCAACAAAATATCATTCAGACGCAAAATTATTTTAAAAGTCCGTTAACTACACTGAGTGTTTATTCATTAAGATTATTTTAAAAGTGCGTTAACTACACCGAGTGTTTATTCATTAAAATTATTTTATTAAATCAAAACTTGTTTAGTAATAAAAATTTAATAAAAATATAAAAAAAATTTAATAAAAATATAATAAAAATATATAGAAACATTAAAATAGTCAGATAATGATTCTAATTTTCTACATTAAATTTATCTACTAATGATAACTATTTGACAATGTTTTTATTTCTGCTTTAGAAAAAAAAAAAATTTTAATTTAGAATCAAAATTTTATAAAGCTAAGAAAAAAAAAAAACTGAAAAAAAAATCAACAACAACTAAAGAAACAATTTGATATGGTCAAAGTTGTTTCAGTTTTATTACTGTCAAGTTACTTTCAGGTGCTTAACTCAAGGTAGGGTGGGAATTAGTATGTGGAAATTTTTATCCAGGGGTCATTCCATATGAAATCATCCAAGCCATGACACCCTTACATCTCAGAATTTGTTCATTTTTTCTTCCATATTGAAAAAATAATAACTGCGAAAATTTTAGTTAAAAGTACACATGGGTTCCAGAGATCAGTTAAAATAATGCTGACTCAGCATTTTAGTGAATATCTGAAGCAACTACAAAGCTACTTTGACATATATTATCTTTATAATGGCATGGAGAAATTTCCTAAAATTTGGTACCCCAATAGACTTTTACTTGAGAAATCCAAAAATAGCACCCTCAAGACTCAATTGTCTCAGAAATTGCCTCGTTTATCCAATGTTGTTCAAAATTATTGACTAGTAAATTCATGATTTTTGGAGGCAAAATGAAGACTGACCCAAATTCCCGAGTAAAAAGTTTAGTTGAATATCATTATTTTATCTTAGGTTTACTAAAACAAATTAGATTCATCAATTGTCTTTCTAATACTTGATCAAAATTTGCATTTGAAAATTTGCGTTTAAAAATTGTGTCTTTTTAGAAAAATTTAAATTTTGTGATGAAAGCAATTGAAATGTTTTTTAAAACATTTATTTAAATAAAACATCAAATAGTGTTATTTATTGACTAGTTTAGGACAGGGGTCCTTTGACCAAATCTTCCTTGTGAAAAACAAAAAGAAATAAAACTGAAAGAAAAAATATTGTTCAATAAGAATTATATGTTGTTATCGTGAGCAATTCTATGGAAATATTTTATGAGAAAAATTACAAAATGTTGAAATCCTTTTGGAACACACAAGGAAAGTAAAAAAATTGCTATAGAAGGTAATTTTAACATTAATTACAACAGAATTGATATGGAAATTAAAAGAAAAACAATTTATTATTAACAAAAAATTTTATATTTTCAGTTATTTTAAAAACTTAAAACTAAATTTGTTTTTTTAAGTAATATAAAGATTTCCCTAGACTTGGAAAAATTTTTGCAAGAAAATGTTTATGTAATCCCAGATTGGAAGTTCTGCAGTAAATGTTACAAAAAAGCAGTAGAAACTGATGAAGATTTAAATTCACAGGAGGAATGGTAATCAAAAAGTGAGAAAAAATTAAGTTAGAGACCACTATAGAATTGTGTGGAATTTCACCAGTTAACCTAAAAAGTCTTTAAAAAACACAGCTAATTGACTGCAGCAAAACAAAAGTTTGAGAACATTATTGAAAGAGTTGCAAAAGTTGTCTCAAACATTAACTTAGCAGATCTAAAAACTTCTATAACATTAAAGAAACTTC